GATTTGACCCAGTGAGCCCTGGAGTACTTGGTCATTGGCTGCAGAGCCAGTCCGGTGATATGTTTCACGGGGGGGGGGCAGCTGCCTCAGGTGGTGAGGCGTGGGGGGTCATCTGTGCTGTGGGACTTGACCGTTTTACAAAACGTTTCTAGACACCTGCTCAAGGACCCTCAGAAGCAGGTACTGAGGAAACAGCCACCTGAAGAAAGCTAACTTTCTTCAATGGCTCTGTGGATACCACCGTGGCCACCTTCTTTTTTTGGAGGAGGAGGGGCAGGTGATGCTGCCTTTGCTGTCCCTGGCAGTGCGTCCAGCGTCTTTCCCCTGGAGGTGTGCCACAACCTCTACCTGCCGCCCTCTGCTGCCACCTCCATTCCTCTCTGTCGGTTTGTGCCACCACCGGTGACAGGGGGCGGTCGGTCTTTGCTTCAGGCAGCGGGAGAGCTTGCCCCTGCCCGTCTGAGTGGGCACCAGAGAACAAGCATGGAGCCCTCTTTCCTCCTCCTGGTGAGCCAGGCGCATGTCTAAAAAGAGGTGCAGAAGAGCGACTCTTTTGGACCACAACTCCCATCATCCCCTAGCCAGCACGGCCACCTTGCGGGGCTAACGGAGCACCAAAGGGGCAATGGGATGGAGAGGTTCCCACGGCTCAGCCGCATGGGGTCCCATGGTAACGGCGACCTGGCGACCTGCTTGGAACCAATCAGGTGCCCTCTGGAGAGCCGGGGCAGGGCACCCAAGAGAGGTCATGGTCTCCCCGGCTGTTGCTACGACTTCAAAGCCCTTGGCTTCAACTCAGGCACCTTGGCAACAAGCCACACCTTCCCTCCCTCCTCACAACAGGAGTATCTTGGCAACAGGGAAACAGCCTCCCTCCCTCCTAGCAACAGCATCCCGGCAACAGAGAGCATCCTGGCCCACCATCCGCTGCACCATCTCCTAGCAACGGGGAGACGAGGCTTCAGAGCCGTGAACCTGGCGATGATGAAGCCGCCACCTGGATTGGCTGGATTTTCAGGAAGCTTTTGGTTCACAAAGGGGGATCGGGGCTGATTTCAGACCATCCAGAACCAGCACCGAGGTGCAGATCTTTGTCTGGTGTGTGGTGTGTTCTTTGTGTTCTTTCCCCATTGGCGGAATGCGCAAGGAAACGCTTGGCTTCGGGGGGGCAGTGTTTTCAAACCGTAGATGCCAGCTAGATGGTCCAAGACAATAATACAAACCTGAATGAAAACTAAAGCATCGCTCCTTCTGGTGTGACTCCGGTGTGTCTGCAGAAGTGGGTTGGAATAATAAACTGAGAATGACAGGGCTGGAAGTCACCTTGATGGATCTCGGAGTCCCACCCCCTCTCAAGGAGGCACAGAGTGGGAATCAAACTCCCAACCTCTAACCGCTAGGCTATCCAGCCGTTGAATGGGCAGGAAGTGTCCAATGAAAGACATTTGCCAGTCTTGATCATGCCACATTAATTCTTGTTTTTGGTCTGTGTTGTGATTCGTGTCTTGATGAAACAGACCGGCATGGCTGTCTCTCTGAAAGTGATAGAACAAATAACCTGCAATGATCCGTTTGCAACAACGAATGCGTAACTCAAGTTGTATTATGGGGCGATTTAGCAAGATGTAACTTACTCCTGTTGTGAGCTAACTATAACTTTTAGTTATATTCCTGGAGAGGTCTGATATGGCCATGGTAACACGGGCCTTAGTTACATCCCAGCTGGATTACTTTAATGTGCTCTATGTGTGTCAGGAAACTTCAGCAGGTCCAAAATGTAGCAGCCAAATTGCTACCTGGGGCCAGTTATGAGGATCACATAACCGCCCCATTCCAGCAGCTCCACCGTTTCTAGACACCATTCAAAGTGCTGGTTCTAATTTATAAAGTCCTAAATGATGTGGGCCCAAGCTATCTCAAGGACGGCATCTCCCCTGATGAGCCTGCTTGAGTTATATGATCATCAGGAGAGGCCTCTCTCTCGGTCCCACCAGCCTCACAGGCGCTTATAGTGGGGACCCGAGAGAGGGCCTTCTCTGTGGTTGCTCCCAGACTGTGGAACTCCCCCCCACTGGAGGCCCACCTAGCCCCATCTTGGCTGTCCTTCTGCAAACTGTCAAAGACCTTTCTCTTCAAGCCACATTTTCACTCAGTGAATGGTTACCAGGTGGGGCCTCTCTCTCGGTCCCACCAGCCTCACAGGCGCTTATAGTGGGGACCCGAGAGAGGGCCTTCTCTGTGGTTGCTCCCAGACTGTGGAACTCCCCCCCACTGGAGGCCCACCTAGCCCCATCTTGGCTGTCCTTCTGCAAACTGTCAAAGACCTTTCTCTTCAAGCCACATTTTCACTCAGTGAATGGTTACCAGGTGGGGTTTTCAAAATGGATTGTTATGCCTTACTGCATTGAATGTATTTTGGTGTTGCTTTTTTTTAAAGTATGTCTAAAAGACCACTCTAGGCGGCTAGAGTGCATTGAATGTATTTTGGTGTTCCTTTTTTTAAAAAAGTATGGCATTTGTTTGATCCTTTAAAGTTTTTATATACTTATTTTTGTTAGCTTTAATATTGCTTCTCTTCAAGGCACGTTTTCGCTCAGTGAATGGTTACCAGGTGGGGTTTTCAAAATGGATTGTTATGCCTTACTGCATTGAATGTATTTTGGTGTTGCTTTTTTTTAAAGTATGGCATTTGTTTGATCCTTTTAAGTATTTTTATACTTATTTTTGTTAGCTTTAATATTGTTTTTCAAGGGTGTGAGTCACCTTGGGTGCTTTTAAGGAGAAAGCTGGGGTAAAATATTTTAAATAAATAAATTGTTTTATATTTCATGGGCATGGGGTTTCACTAATGGGTGGAAACGGAATATTGCATGGTTCAAACACTTGTTTATGCTGGGTTTTGTGTTTTCGCTTGCTCTTTGTTGACCCAAACTTGAGATGGATGGGATGAGAGGTGCTTTGTAACCCAGGTCGGTAGCTTTTATGGGACCTTCCAGATAGAGCGCTCGTTTCCCCTATGTACAGTGATTTTAATGATATTTGTCCACCCCTCACATTCTGCTTCTCCTGTCTCCCACATTGCAATGACTTTCCTTGCTTTTTGTTCCTTCTTTCGGCATATTTTATTTCAGATTTTATTTTCAATCTGTCTTCTGTGGGGTGGGGTGGGTCATTGTTTAGCAATATGATGCTTCTCATTGAAGGTCATGTCGCAGTTAACCTCTAGGAAACCTTCAGCTACCACCCCCCCCCCACAAAAAAACCCAAACCAGACAATATGATGCTTCTCATTGAAGGTCATGTCTCAGTTAACCTCTAGGAAACCTTCAGCAGCCACCCCCCCACAAAAAAACCCAAACCCAAACCATACTCCACTGGCAGAGAAGATGTTCCAGCAGGGAAGTTCACGTCTTAAATTTCTTTGAATAGGTTTTAAAAACAAAACAAAACAGCTTGATGATGGAGAGTTGGTTTTCTTAAAAACAAGTTGCTTCTTAACTGGGTATTTGGATATTAAATCTAGTACAGTAGAACAGTGGTCCCCAACCCTGGGCCTCTAGATGTTCTTGTTAAATTTCTTTTAATAGGTTTAAAAAAAAACAGTTTGATGATGGAGAGTTGGTTTTCTTAAAAAGAAGTTGCTTCTTAACTGGATATTTGGATATTAAATCTAGTAGAACACACCCACTTGCAAGCAAGAGACAGAAAGGGATGTGGATCATTAGCCTGATCTAGACAAGACCTAACATCTAAAACAACATCAGGCTTCTAAAGAATGTCTCCGAAAGTTGTTACTGATCTTTAATAGTTATCCTGTACCTTCCTAGCACCTATTAACTCAGGGTCGCCCAAGAGGTGGCCAGGGTGGTGGTGGTGGAGGAGGAGGGAGAAGGCACCCCCAATATAGGAGCTCATCACCCCCTGCTTCCCACTCTGTCACGGCTAGACTATTTTCATTACAGTATTTGTAAGAAGTCACTATCAATGAGCAGTGACATATCCTACAGTATTCCACATGACTGATGTAAGAGAAAACATGTTTAAGATGGAAGTTTTGTCCCATTATTATTATTTTTTCCACATGAAGCAAAGCTTCCACACCTAGAAATATACTTTGGCCCTTCTCTGGGCTGTGAGTAACCCCAGGTCCAACTCTGCGGACACTCAGAAAGAAAGTTGTCTTTGCCTGGAGAAATGGTGGGAGAACTTCCACATATTTCATGGTCTCTCCTTTACCTGCCCTGACGCAGGTGTTGATCTTCCCCCTTGACATTGCTATTCTTAAGGCCTCTGATCCCACTCCCTTCCTTCTTGCACCTTGCTTTTCTCCCTCCAATAAAGAGACCTTTTCCCTTTTCCTCAAGAGATGAGAGGGTGCCGGTGTGGTGCTTGGCATCTCCAACTTAGGGCGTGCTCCAGCGGCTAACAATGTGTGCATCCGATCGTGCCAGAAAGGGATGCTTTAGTGGAAGCCCCCTCCCTTAGAGGGACCTGCTCACCAGCCAGGGAATCACTCCAGCCCAGTTCCAAAACGTAGAAGCCGTACAGCCCCCCCAAAAAGTCCAACTTGGCCACGGATCAGGGTCTGGCTGGAGAACCTTTCCCCATAGATTGTGCAATTGCCTGGAAACGGATCGTACCAGACAAGGTGTCCAAATTATGATATCACCCCCTGAGGGTTAGTTAACTAGAAGCAGGGCTTCAGAATTTCACATGCATTCCCCTGATAAACACAAGCTTCCTTGTGTGGGTGTGATTCTTTTACAAACTGGGTGTCTGTTCGCTCAGGTCATCCTTCCCACTTTCGAAGGGCTGAAGCCACAAAGTAAAGTTTCTCCTCTGCCACGGTGCGCTGGCTCTCCCACACCGTGCACCATCTTTTTGTCCTTAATTTTTTTTTTTTTGGTGCTGCCGTGGCTTCACTTCCAGGTGGAATTGTCCCCCAGATGCAGACTTCTTCAGCTCTTTGCTGGTTAACGCCTGGGGAGAACGAAATCCTTCATGCCATGTCGCGTGGCCAGCTTCTGACGCCCTGAGCCTCCGTTAACAAGATAATTGGATTGTATAGAAGCTGGGTCCATCCGTTTCCAGAGAGAAAGTGACTTTTGCTTCGGCCTGCTTGGTTAAGCTAAGGATGCTCGATGCCCACTCGAGGTGGGCACAATCTGGTTAATCTCTGTGACTCAGCCAGGAGCAGGAGGAAGGCTTTCGGCTCTTTGAACGAGCAGCTTTGCCTCTCCATGGAAAAGGGGAGGCTTCATTTCCGACGGTGACTCAGACGGAGCCAGCACTCCGGCGTGGCGCTTGCCAGTCGGCTCTCCTGCCTACCAGCCCTTAACTGCTCTTGCAAAAGGTGAGTCCTTACTCACCTCTACCCTGTGGCGGATTGGTGTAACCTGGCCCCCTTCTGTGGGTACCGATGGGGGGAAAGATCTTTGATTCCTCGCCATCTGGTGCCATCGAAGACGGCTTGCATCTCCTGTGATCCAGCAGCAGCCCCGTCTGGTTTTGCCACAGCCGGCACCTGCAGCCGTCAACCCGCCGGTTAGAGGCGGAAGGATGCGTTAAGAGTCACCCAGCACCCAAAGACAGGTAAGGAAGAAAACGTGGCAGAAAAAGCCCGGCTGTATCTCTGCCAAGGGTGGCTTTCGCTGCTAGCTACGATTTGTGTGTCTGACATCCATGATCAACAAGGGGGAAGATGCTTTCCAAGAGCTGTGACATTTAAGCAGCCTCGGGAAGGTGGGTGAGAATAAATAGCCAAGCTGTGAGTTTGACTGTGACTCATGTTGAGAGGGAGACCGTGAGCTGCCGGGATCCAGCTTCCAGAGAGATAAGATAACAGAGCATTCAGGGAAATCAGTTGGGGTGCCTTTGAAATGGACTAGGATCTCAGGAGACCCGAGTTCCAATTCCCTCTTGGCCATGAAGCCTACCAGGTGGTCTTCGGGCAGCCATCACTCTTCCAGATCGTAGTGCTTCAACTTTTGAGGGCCGAGCTGGAGCGATTTGTTGGCAGACGGAAACGTCGCTCTAAGAAAGATCACTTTCCTTCGAGTGGCCCTTTCTGGTGCGATCAGGTCCCCGTTTTGTAGAAAGGGCTTTACTTATTTTTTATTCACTTAAAATATTTTTACCCCACTTTTCTCCTTAAAAAGGACCTGAGGCAGCTTGCATCCTTGAAAGACAATATTTAAAGCTGAAAACAATGAATACCCAACGGCGATTTGCATCATTAAAATATAATATTTAAAGCTGAGCGCAATGAGTGTAAAGAGGCAGCTCCCATCATTAAAAGACAATATTAAAGCTAAAACAGTAAGTGTGCAAATTCTAAAAAGGAATGAACAAATACCACTCTGAGAGAGGGTAAAAACACAAGCAGTGCTAAAGACCCAGTCAGAGCAGCGATGCATAGCAATCCATCTAAAAGTTGCTCATGGAGCTAGCCATGTGGCCAGTCACTCATGTAGGCCATCACTCAGGGAAAGGTTGCCTGAAGAGAAAGGTCTTTGCCTGGAAAGACAGCCAAGAGGAGGCCAGCCTGGCTTCCTGTGGGAGGGAGTTCCAAAGTCTCTCCGGCGTCCCCATCAGAAACACCTATGAAGGTGGTAGGACCCAGAGAATTGCCTCTCCTGGCCATCTTAACACCCGTGACACGATCTTTGATCTTGGACCCAACTATCTAACCACTCCTCCCTGTAGCCAATGCTATACTTGAAATAGAGCCTCCACCCTCCGTGCATTACATCTTCTAGGCTCTGAGTCTCAACGTCTAGACCAGCCAGTCCTCCCAACTTTGGGCAACGCAGGTGTTCTCGAACTGCCACTCCCAGAAACTCCGGCCTGCACAGCTAGTGGTGGAGGCTTCCGGGAATTGCAATCCAAGAACACCTGGGTGACCCAAGGTCGAAAACCACTGCTCTAGAGCAAAAAGGGAAAACTTGGCCATATCAAGACAGGACTCCTGTGTCTGTAAATCACGGTGTGGCATGCCACGCACGTCCCGTCGGCTGATCTCCCCTTTCCTACCTGCTGATTAAAGGTAGCCATTGGCTACCAGCAGTTGTGACCGGCCATCTTACACAAGGACTGCTGGCCGGTCCCAAAGATACAAACCTCCTCCTTCCATGACTATCCTTTTGCTTTCACTTTATTTGTAAGCGGTATAATATCCTGCCTTTTCTCCAGTGAGGTCAAGGCAGCATGAACGGCTCACTCCCTCGCCCCTGGATCCTCACAACAGCCCCCTTTTTGAGCTAGACCCGTCGTCCAGAAGAGCGTCGTTGTGGAAGATCACTTAAGCTTCACAACCAAAGTTAGGTGTGTGTGTGTGGGGGACTGGATCCCAGATCTTCTGAGCACTAGTCCAGCTCTCTAACCCCTTCAAACCACTGGCGGTCTTGATTTTTATTCCCCTCTCTTGATACTTCGGTTTTATTTTTCTATAGATCAAAGAAGGACCTCCCATAGCATCCAAACAATTTGGGCACGAGATGGCACCCCTTCCTTCCTAAACGAGGCAAACTGCCTGACACCCCAGTCCAGGCCTCTCTCCCTGTCGTCGTCGTCTCCCCCCCCCCATCACAACCCGACATCCTTTTTAGGCAGCCCTTTGCCTTCCTTCTCAGGATGTAGAGGGAATGGCTGCCTTTCCACCCATCCTCCCTGGTCCCTGTGTGAGGCGGTTTCCATGGCAACGGCCAATCAGGGAGGTGGGATGCTGCCAGCCCATGGCCGAGCCAGGCAGGCAGGCAGGCTCAATGGATGGGTGTGGTAAAAAGGGAGCAGAAGGGAAGCCAGGGGGAGGGGAGGGGGCTGCGCACGGTTGCAAGGGGAGGGGGGGTGGGAGGTATGGCCGGCCAGCAGGAGGCAGCGCTGCTCTCCGGCCATGCGGTTAGAGCTGGGTGGCCAAGGGGCTGTTCTCTCTATCCTTTTGGTCTGAGAGGTTTAGCAAAACGTCCCTAGCCCAAGTGTTATGCTGGAGTATTTGGGGGGGGGGGAGAGAGAGATGGGGAGGAGGAGAAAGAGAGAACCAATATCTTCCTGGAAAGCCCATTTATATCTCCTGCCCCTTCCTTTTTTTATCCTGCCTGGCCCACCCTCTGAGCAGGGAGGTCTCTGAGCAAGAGAGAGATGCCAAAGGTCCCGGGTACCAAGGCTGGAGAGATGCTCACAGGGAGTGCAATAAAAAGGACAGGAAGGACAGGCGAAAAGGAGGCAGAGAGATCCTTTCCTCCCATCTCTTATCATCCCAAGGCCCTTCCTGGGTGGGCATCATTGATCCACAGTGCGAAGGACTGCCTGAAACAAGTAAAACCAAATAAAAAGCACTGTTAATAACCTCTCTGTGGTTGAGGGGGTTTAAACAGAGGGTGGGTGGCTATATTTATTTATAAATATATGTTTATTTTTAATATATATTTATAATGTATTTATAAAGCCCTGGATCTCTGAATTGGCAGGGGTCGGTGGGATGCTCCTTGGACTTTGGTCCAACTCTACGATTTCTGTAGCCCATAATGCTAGACCCTGGGGTCATCCATTTAAGCCGAATGATGGGATGTATTGGTTGCTGTGGACCATGGGCAGGAAGATGGTCTTACATTCATGCCCTACTGGTGAACTCCCCCGTCTCCCAGAACCAATTGGTCCTATTGCAAACAGAATGTGGGAAGATAAAAAGTGGAGGAAGGGGACCTTTGGCCTCATCCAGCGCATCTCTTCTCATGCTCTTTCACCACCGGCCTCCCTTGAGATAAATCAATACAGTAATCGTTTCGTTTAGTCGTTTAGTCGTTCAGTCGTGTCTGACTGTTCGTGACCCCCATGGACCAGAGCACGCCAGGCCCTCCTATCTTCCACTGCCTCCCGGCAGTGGAAGATAGGAGTAATAGCCTCTTCCAATATAAAGCTGCTTCATGAACCCACGGCCGTTGGTGTGTTCAAACCAGGTGCTCTGCCCATTGGACAAAGGGACCCCATACCAACTGTGTCTCCAATCCAAGAAACGATATTCCCAGCCGGTCCCGGAAATTTGAGTGTTCTTGGGGAGATCAGTGTAGCCTGAGCACCGGATGTTTAGAATTTCAAGTAGAGAAAGTTAATATAAAGCTGCTTCATGAACCCACGGCCGTTGGTGTGTTCAAACCAGGTGCTCTGCCCATTGGACAAAGGGACCCCATACCAACTGTGTCTCCAATCCAAGAAACGATATTCCCAGCCGGTCCCGGAAATTTGAGTGTTCTTGGGGAGATCAGTGTAGCCTGAGCACCGGATGTTTAGAATTTCAAGTAGAGAGGGTCCTCTTGCAGAATTTTGAATTTCTAGTGAAATGCCCTGTGCTATGCAGCAGAAGTACAGAGGTCCACAGAGGAGAATAGTTACAAGTTCCCCAGATATTCCACCCCTTTCTCATTAACTGGCACTTTTATAGGAGAACATTTGTAGGAGAAGGAATAAAAAGGTTTCATTACTTACAGTTGTGAACAGATCAACAGCAAAACTTAACAAACGCTTCATTCATTCATTCATTTTCTGTACTGCCCATCTGGCGATCAATGCCACTTTGGGCAATTCCCAACATGATAAAACAAACACTGTAAGAAACGTTAAACATAAAAATTATGTAAAAAAACCCAAAATGAAACATCCCAATCCGCATACACCAAACACAACGTCAAAACAGCCAAAACTATAGGTCCGGTTTCTGGCCTTCTCTTTCCGTGTCTCTCTTGGGGCCACTGCTCTCAACCGCCTGGCTTGGAAAGACTGAGTAGGTTGGGAAGATCTTTACTAGAAGAAGGTGTTCTGTCAGGTATCCAGGTCCCGAACCCTTTAGGGCTAAAGAGAGGGAAAGGGTCTCTGAGCGGAGAGGCGGGGCTGTCTTTGAATTCTGAAGCAGGAAGGAACGATTGGTTCGTGCTGGATAGACTGACAGCCGCCCAGCCCAGAAAGGTTTCTCCCAGCCACAGAAACCACAGATAGAAGTCGATAGGCGATACCATTCCTGTCTCCTCTTCCCATGAATTGGAAGCTCAAGATCATTGGCCATTCTACTTGTCTAAAGTTGTGCTGGCGTGTTGTGGTCCGTGTTGCACCCAGATCCAATGCCCACAACGGACGAGCCTTTGTGCGGTTGCCACCGGGGCCCCAACGTGGAGCGAGGGAAGTGGTATGGCGTCCGTTCCTATCTGCATCTTTTCTATGAGGACTGCACTGGAGCCAGTCTGGATGATGACCTCGAGGAGTCCCCGCCCGGTCCGGCCACTCCTGGATGGACCTCCGTCCTTTGGAAGGTGAGCATATGAACTCCGGAATCTGATACGAGATTGCAGTGATTTCTGGAACGGTGGAGCGAGTTTCTCTGAGCACGAGCAGAGTACCTTTCCCCCATTAGGAGCATCCCGAAGGGGCTTCTGAAGAGGTGCCTCTGAGCATGTTTCTGCTTTTGGAAGCAGAAGGATGTTTCATTCTGGCCTCCCACCAAGCCTTGTTAGTCCAGGTGACTCAGAAACAAGCTTTTTCCCTTCCTCCTAGCACTGCAGATGGGTGGTGGGTTCCTTGTGATCTCGGTCCTCCTTTCAGGCAGGCCAACAGAAACGTGCCTCGACATCTGGAAGCCTGGTGGCCTCGAGATAACATCTACTATGTCTCCCATCAGCCACCATGGCCAATACGGTGATGGGAGTTGTAGTCTAACGCATCTGGGAGGGACCTGGGACATTTTTGGGGGGCGTGGGAGAGTAATGTAAGGAAAAAAACCCACTTTTTGGCACTGTGTTGAAAAGTGTGCTCAGATCCATGGTAGAGGGATGCTGGGGGCGGGGGCTGCAATTGAACCCATGACCTCAAGGGGAGGTGATGGTGAACGCTCCAACTCTGGAGGCATTCAAGAGAAATTCCAACCATCACCTGGCCAATCTCCTTTGGTTTATATTCTTGCCTTGAGCAGCGGGTTGGACTCCGTGGCCTCATTAGGCCCCTTCCAACTTCATGATTCTATTCTAGAGATTCTCGGTTTGATCCTGCCCTTCTCTCCTTATGTCTTTTTAATCGGTGCCTGCTCTGAAGCAGGTACGGGCAACCTCTGATTGGATCTGGGAGCCGTTTCTAACTCCTCCACATTCCAAATACCCTACAACTCCCATCCGACAGCATCCTCCCTTCGGAAAGGAAAAATGGACCAAAGCTGCTGATCGGAGTAGAAACGAAGCGGTAGCAGAGGGAATCTCGTGGCGCCACCGTTGGGCATGCTGGCCTGGGAGCCGGGGTTGGGGGAGGAATCTCCAGGTTCTGGCCCCTGATGAGCCGTGAAACTCTGCGGGTGACTTTACGGGCCATCCTTCTCAGCCTGGCCCAGCTTCCAGGGACTGCTGCTGTGAGGGTCAAGCGGAGGTGGAAGGGAGCCCACGGGGCAGCCTTTGGTGGCAGGAGCCCGTATGAAATCCAAGAGAAATCATTGCTCAGAACCTGGGATAAGAAGTCGTTATAGGAAGAGGAAACCCAAGTCTGGGAGTCTGGCAGAGGGAGGGAGGGAGCAGGAGGCAGGGGGAAAGGTGAGGGTCAGAGGGATGCCAAGGGGCCAAATGACACCAGAAACTCTGGGGGTGCCCAAGCGGCCGCCCCCCCCCTTCCAGCCAGGTCCCACCGTCAGTCTTTGGGATGACTCTGGCGCCACCTGCAGACCACGGCCGGGGTATGCTTTCAAGTTGGAAACCTCCCGGTCTAATGCTTGCACTAATGGGGCAGTAGATAAATCAAATAAACAATAATAGTAGTAGTAGAACTGCACAGCCAGGAGGGACCCCATGGATCATGGAGCCCAGTCGAACTCTCAGCCTCTGGCTCTGTGGCCGGAGACCTCAACCACTGAGCTTTCTAGCCGCTCTTCAATAAATAAACATCTTAGCGCTAGCCAGAAGGAGGGCCCGGCTCCAGAGGTCACATCCTGCCAGGCCACGTGCAAGAACACACTTTGAGCTCTCCGGCTGTGGCTGGCACTATCCTGTCGGGGTGCCTGGAGAGGTTCACTGCCCTATGGGTCTATGCTTGGGTCGTGTGATATGGGGCCCACAGAAGAATTGGGGGGGGACTCGGGCCACCTCCACCTGCTGGAATCCCTCTGGAGAGCTGGGGAAAGTTAGATTTTGGAACCCCAGTTCCGCAAGTCCTTTGGCCACGGACATGGGCAACGGATAGGTTTGGAGTGCGGATGGTCAAGAGTGGCTTGAAACAGAGATGGAGGCGAAAGATGGATGGGTCTCCAGCCCTCATATCAGACATAAGGAGGCGGGCCACATCTGGCATCTGGTTGGGGATGTTGCGAAAGGGAAGCGCATGGTTGTTCCGCTTGTGGATTTACAGCTGGAGATGAAGAAAAGGTGCCTGTGGCATTTTGGGGTCGTCACAGCCCAGCTTGACTTGAGTACGAGGAGATGCCAAGGGGTGCTCTCCGTCAGGCGGCTCAAGATCTTTGGCTGCCCACGGTTCACCTGGAAGAATTTCTCCTAACCTATGTTATGTTAGGGAATCCACTTGGTCCATATCATTTGGTCTGTTGAGGGGTAGAAGGGTTCCTCTGTTGGGGGGAAAGCACTCTGCACATTCTCACATATCATCTTGTTCTTTTTGTGCCTTCACCTGCGACATGTCCCTTTGCTGAAATCTAGCAGGGCTGAAAATAGATTCCATTTCTTGGATTCCATTTCTAGGAGCTGTCGTTCAAAACCCTAAATACGGAACGCTTCTCCTCTTAACCTTTATTGTTTGGCCCTCATGAGCCAGCGTGGGCCGGTTTGTTCGATTTTCAGAGCAGTGCTAAAGAGATCTACTCAAGTGTAAGACAGTTTTTGCTGCTTATTTGCTTTTCATCCTTTAATCGTTTTAATGAGTGTCCATTTTAACTAGTTTTTTTTTTAATGTTCAACTTAATTACGCTTTTCATTGTATTCTTTTCATATTTGTGACCCGGCTTGGGTCCCCTTCTCGGGAGAAAGGCCACCTGTAAATAAAACAAACAAATCAAATAATAAATACAGTAAATTTAAGACCTACCGAAGACACTGGATCTTGCCCCTCGTCAGTAGGATTAGGAGTGAAGCCCTATTTACATGGATGTTTTACTCTCACAGAAGGGCCCACGTAGGACTCCCGTCGTGCCATAAAACATACATCTTTTCTACTCTTGTCTCCCTTTTGGCTGACTCCACTCCAAGTGCATTAACTTAACTGAACAACATCAAAGTGCACTGAGGTGCGTAGGCAAGTGAGTTTTCTTGTGTCCTGAAAGTGATGGAGAAGTGGGTGCCTGTTCTGTTTGTTGTGAATGCTTTGGGGGGGGCCCTCTCTGTGCCATCCAAGCCCCCCTGTTGAAATCATGCCGCGTTTAACCTGAAAGTCATTTTTAACAGCCTCCTTTCCACTCTAAGGTCAGTTTCTCGGCGGGGAGCCTGCTGTTACTTGTTGGAGCAGCCGCCCTGGCCACAGGATCCCTCCTGCCCCACAAACTGGAAAGGATCGGAGAAGCCGAGTTCCTGGTCCTCGATCAAGAGGCGGCGGAGTACAACCACGCCCTGGGGGTTTGCCGCGCCGTGGGCCTGGCGCTGTGTGCCCTCGGGGCCGCTCTCTTGGTCACCTGCCTTCTCTCCTCTGGGCTGAGCAAAATGAGCCCGTGGGTCCAGAGGGGTGAGGAAGAGGCTGGCAAGGAGGACCAGATTTCTCCCATCCTGGCGCGAGAGGCGTCCTCCAGGCGATGGGGCACCCTCCTTGAGGGGCCACCGGTGCCCTTCCGAGCATCCTGGGCGCAACGGATCCAGCCGAGCAGAGACCCTTAATGCCAGGCACCCAGAGGGAACCCTTCGAGAACAACCCGGACCCCTTTTCTTTTCCTTTTGGGTCATGGCGTGAAAGCAGAGCTGTGATAAAATTTACTTTTTTTGGAACCCCAAGAGGGGAACTGATTAGGCTGGCTGGGCGGGGGGGGGAGCTTCAGGGAGCTGGAGTCTGAAAAAGCGACTTCCCCCAAAGTTCTGGTGTCCATCCGGAACAGCTATCTTTCAAGCAATCATCTCCTAGTGGAGCAGCCAGGATGGTGGGATCCTGATGAATGAATGAAGAAGAAAAGAGTCTCCCACTTCACCAGCCTGTGCGTTTGGGTGGATCTCGGGAAAGGCTCAGCTGGACAACTGGAAACTCACCTTCTCATCAGAGGGATCAGAGTCTTTTTCCTAGCTATCCCCTTTGCTAGTGTAGGGCCCTGCATGGTGGCTTTATCTGAAGGTTGCTGGTAGCCTGTGTTGGAAAAGGGAGGTTCTCTTCTGATCTTTCCTGGATAAGACTCCCACAGTCACCTGGGGTCCCACGTCACAGTTTGGGGTCACCCGAGAGCCAAAGGAGCAAAGCAGGGAAAGGGGAAACGGATTTACGGATGTGATCTCAAACTGTGGTTATGCTCTGTCCAGTCGTTTCTGAGTCATGGTGTCCCTGTGTATTAAGGGTGACAAGGAATTTGGACATTTGGAATGTGGCCCTGGAGGAGAGCTCCGCAGATACTCTGGACAGCCAAGAAAGACGAACAAGTGGGTCCTAGATCAAATCAAGCCTGATCTATCTCTGGAGGCAAACAGGTTGGAACCATGGCTGTCCTACTTTGGGCACCTCGAGAGAAGGCAGGATTTTTTCAAAAAAAGACCCTAATGCTGGGAAAGGTGGAAGACAGTAGGAAAAGAGGAAGGCCGAATACAAGATGGACCGACTCCCTAAAGGAAGTTACTATAGTTACCTAAAAAAAGAAACTTTCTCTCTCTCTCTCTCTCTCTGTCACACACGCACACACAAATAGTTCTCAGAAAAGTAGCTGATTATTTTTCTTTCCGTCTGCTTTTCCTACAAAAGCTTTCTGTTTGGTGTGACGCAGAGCTTGTCACAGCTCCACCGGTCAGAAGCTGCAAGTCTACGGCAGCCGTAGGACAAGCAGAAACTCAACTGGCAAAGCGTCCATGGCACCAGACTTCCTCTCTGCTCCAGAAATGCCTACACCAGTTGAATTCCTGCCTGTTGTCCAGCCATGAAGGGCACCCTGTGGGCCCCAGTCGCCAGGTCTAATATCTTCAGCTGAAGAACCGCAGACAGAAACCAGGGCCCGGACCACAGTCTCCTTCCTTTCGGGTCGTGTAGAGAGTTCAAGAGCAGTGAACCCGCTAGGGAAGAATCCTGGGTTTTATTCGCTTGCCATTGCTGAAGCTTCTGGTCCTTTCATCCTCTTTTTAAAATTTTAAAATTCCATCCCACAATCGATTCATATAGCACCTCTTCGCTTCCTCTTTGAGCTGTCAGCTAACCATAATTTCATCCCGTGCGTCAGCTGACAGAACAGAAGGATGCAAATAGACAGTGTGTGGGTGTCTTTGTGAAATCATTATTCTTTTCTGACTTTCTGTAAGATGCAGGTTAGTTGTTTTTTAAACAGTCCTTAAATAGAGTAGAGAGATATTCAGAGACATTATTGACTCACCTTGATCTAGCTGGTTTCCCACACACACACACACACACACACACACACACACACACACACACACACACACACACAGAGAGAGAGAGAGAGAGAGAGAGAGAGAGAGAGAGAGAGAATTCTACATCTTGTAAAGTTCAAGGGGGTAGAAGTAAAAACAGGAGCCTTGTGGTTTTTATCTGGTGCAAGTTTTAACGAACTGTTAGCCTAAGGCCTTCAGGAACACCTTTTAAAAACACACACTCTGCTGGAAGAGAAAAGCAAGCCAGGCGGCTCTTTTGGAAAGACACTTCTCTGCTTGACATCAGAAATAAGATCAAAAAAGGGAAAAAAAGGGAAAAAAAACCCCACAAAAGTTGGTCAAAAAGAAAAAGAAAAAGAAAGAAAAAACCCCCACAAAAGTTGGTTTCAGAAGAACTCAGCCATTCAGGATATTCCATCCGTGTTCTCAAAGTAGTACAGTATGTGTGTGTGTGTGGGGGGGGGACAGAAGAGTTACAAAAGGAGCCTTCACTTTGGAGACAGAGGAAGTGGCCTACATCCATACATTTCAGTACGCATCTAAAGGTTTCAATAAAGACCAAGGCTTTTGGCTCACTATCCAAATAAATAAATTGGCTTTTCTTTGCAGTCTTTGTTTTTCCTTTGGGTAAACTCTGACCTCAGGATCAAATGTGGAATCAGACAGAAGAACAAGCCACTTGCTAAAATCACGTTCTCTGCAAATCACCCACAACCTGGCAGCCAATATGTGCTCGCTAATCACTTTACCTACTGCCTGGATGTTTATGTAATTAACAGGCTGAAAGATCATTGCTGTGTTACAGACACTTTGCAAATTTTGCAACCTGTGAACTGCTTCTGTCTTCACTGCCACAGCCACATCTCCAGTGGCTACAGACCTGTGGCTAAACGTTTCACTCCTTCTGTCTGAGGAAGGGGACTGTAACCAAGGAAAGCTCACAGTGAAATAAATCTCCTGGTCCTCAAGGTGTCTATTTTGTTTCTGTCGTATCTGCTTGAGGAGGGTAACCCAAACAGGATCTATCCGGGAACAGATCTGATTGGCAGATTCCCTTCCAGCTTCAACACATCTTCACTAGGGGGGGAGCTTTACCCCGAATCCTGGAGGAGGGACGCAGGAGTAGCAGAAGCTGACTTTGTCCCTGGTCATAGGAGGGAAAGGTTTGCTACTTCTTCCCACACTTTCCATACCTTCTGTTGTACTGATTTGTGGCCATGTGGTTTATATCCTGGGACGAACGTCCCCAGAACTTTCAACAATACCGATTTATTTCCTCCTATTTGAATGGTTACAGCTGCCTCTTTTTCCCTCTTTTTGGCTACAACTGCCAGAATCCTTAGCTAGCTAACTGGTGATTATGGGATTTGTAGTACAGTGTCATGTCCAAGCCCTGATAGGGGCCCACATATTTGGGTCCCTCATTATAGATCGCCTTTCCCTACCATTGGCCCCCTCTGGATGGGTAATGACAATTCCCATTATCCCCAGCCAGAATGTTCACAGGTGGCCCATGGATGACCAAGGGAACGGATGTTGCCATCCAGCACAGCTGGCAAGGGGTAGCTGGTGTTTCTAATACTGATCGGCAGCTATTTTATCTCTGTACATTGTGTTTCTCCAGCACTAAAAAAAGGACCAGTGGAAACGGATTAACATTGCCTCTCTTGTTCCACGAAATGTTGTGTTATCCTTGGACTGAATCGCTAACCCTTTGCGAACAAGGTGAGCTTCCCAGATTGCAGGAAGATGGTGCAAACATGGGACAGGGGAGGAAGAAAAATGTTCCCCCAAAAATCTGCCCCCCTGTGGTTTTGAAGTCCCCCGCTCCTGTCCCCCAGTGGAACTGGTGGCCTTGGGGGTCTCACACCAATAATTCCATCCGTTCCAGGTGGCTGGAGAGTTTGCTTTCTATGGGATTGGATGCTTTCCATGGCAGTTTTTTTTTCCCGGGAACATCCCTCTTCCTTGGCCTCGGCCCCTAGCCACAGGGCGGCTCTGGTGGGTTCTTGCCAGGGGTCATCATCCTGCTCCCAAGCCAGCTCCCCTGTAGCTCAGAGGAAAGGGCACCACGCATGAAGTTCTGATGAGACCTTGGAAGCACTGCCCATTTAGACCAGGCTTCTTCCTTTCTGCGGCGAGAACTGATGGGATTCCTCACGCCGGACGTCCAAAAAGGTTCAGGAAAGGATTTTCAAGCTGTAGCCCAAAACCCGCCCAGGATCTGGATGGCAGCTGCCATGGGATGTCCCGGATCAGGCCCTGTATCTATCTGCTCCTCTTCCTCGTTGTTGCAATACTGAAATTTCATTCATATCCGCCCTTCTTCACGGAGCCGAGACGGGCGAACCGTTCATGTCAAAACACAAAGTGACAAAGATCTAAATGCACAAAATTGCGCCCACCCAAAAAGGATGACAAAGAATGGAAAACCACAAATTATAATTATAACTATATTATAATTATAATTATAACAATCTAGTGATTAAAAATACAGTAATTCTATCCCAATAATTGCCTATTTCCATGGTCAGCCCCAAAGGTTCCAAGTTGAACAAGTAAGTTTTTAGGTCCCGTTTGAATTTGTCCAACTCTGGTTCCGCACAAAGGTCTTGCGGAAGGGAATTCCATCGTTTGGGGGCCAGACGAGAAAATGCTCCAAGTCTGGAGTTAGCCACCTTGGTCCAAACCAGCGGTGAAGGGTGATCGTCGAGCGTCCCTTTCTCGTCCTCGCATTAGTATCCGGGTGGCAGGAAGCTGAACAATGGGGAAAAAATAGGTGTTGTGGGGGAGGGACCACTTCTTATGAAATGTGATGTTGGAACAGGGCTTTAGAGAGATTTCGGACTTCCTGAAAAGATGGGGTGTAACGCTCATCAGAAGTGATTGTGACTTCTGTGGAGGCTCTTATACTTTGCGCAGACGGTAAGAAGACGAGACGGACAGGAAAAAACAGCGATGCTGGGAAAAACAGGCGGTAGCAGGAGAAGAGGAAGTCTGAACGTGAGATGCATTGACTCGATAAAGAAAACCACAGCTCTTCATTGGCAGAGTTTGAATTAGGGCTGCAAACCATGGGATCCCTTGAGAAGGAAGTGGATTTTAACCCACAAAAAACTCACCCTAAAATAAACCTGTTCGGCTTAAAGGTGTCAAAAGACTGTTTTGTTTTTAGCAGGGTTGCCATTGGTTGGACGTGGCTTGGTGGCACACGACTCACTCGGCCGATAGGGCAGCTTGTGGTCATCCGGGACAACCCGCACTTGCTAAAATGCTCTTTTATGCCCTTGGAGGATTCAAAGTGAAGAAATCTAGCAACTGCTTTGAGCTGAAACTCTGCTATTTCCCACAGGATTGCCCTGTTTATAGAGACTGGCGGAAGCGTTGCCTTCTCTCTGAATTTTCCCACAGGAAAGGAAAAGTTTGGGGAACATCTTCCACAGCTTGTTAAAAATACCACCATCCCCAATTTTCTCTGGATTTTTAAAAAATTAAAAGACACACTCTGTTTATTAATAAAACAGCCACTGAATTCCTCATTACAAAAGGTTTCAGTAGAACAATTAACTCTTGGTCTGATCCTTTAAAGTGGTTTGCATATTCCAACAGTGGAAAAGATGCTTCTAATTCCCGAATATCATTGTGTGGGACGCAGTTTATAATTCTTCTGTGCCATCAGAAGAATCCTATGAATTAATGACTTCCAAAAGAACCTGTCGTTAACACCACCTGTTGCACTTCTTCTACCAGCTTGGAAAGTTACTTTTTAGAAATTAGGCCTGCCAGTTCTAACCCCACTCCAAAGCAGACAGTTATAGTTG